TTAATGAACTCTAGAAAACAGATTCTTGACTTACAACCACAGACGTCGTCGCTGTAATGTCCGCTCTTGGTTCGTGGAGTGACGTTTTGAAGTCGATTTGGCCGTCGCCATCTTGGCTTTTTTGCAACCGGTGAACAGAAGTGACGTAGAGACGCCGTATACGTCTCTACTTTGAGCAATACCAGGTTGCTTTATTTATAATACTTCATTTATTACTTGATTTATACTTTTTGATTATTAATCTGCAAAGTATGCAACTAGTGTTGAATAAATGCAGTGATGTAAAAAGTAAAACATTCGCTTCCAAAATGTAGTCTAGTAAAAGTATAAAGTATGGCTAAATGGAAATATTCAAATGATGTTTCCTCAAAACAACAGTACTTGACTAAGTATTCTTAGTTACTCTCGACCGCTGTTGAATTCACCTTTACCTACAAACAGCCCCAGTGACCGATGAGGTAAAACTTTCCCCCGTTTTAACAAAAAGAAACGTGGTTCAGAAACTTCACTGAAAGAGTTTAGTCCTCAGTCACGACTGCCATCCATCAGTGGGATGGATCCAGAGAAGCTGCAGCGGAGGTGATTGATAGCAGAATTAATAAATGAGTTAACAGTAAAATTGAAAATAACTTTTTATGGAGTTAATTGCCTCGGGCTGATAAGAGAGAGGCGGGTCGGCTGTGGATCATTTCCTTGATCAACGATAATGTGAAGGAGCGCCATCACAACAATGAAGAATGAAGGTCAGACAGGATGTCGGCACCGAAACATCAACGCAGGAATAGTTACACTGAGAAGTTTACAGTCATCAATAAATTGCCAAAGTTTTTGACAAATTATTCATGCAGAAATTGGAAGTATTGATGTAGACTCTTGTTTGACATCATCAGGATCAGAAGGACTTTGTCCCACGAGGTACCATCTTTAACTCACTTAAATGATCATGCTAATACATAATAATGTGATTTGACATCCTGCAAATATAAATAAGAGAAGAAGACGAACACAGGAGGAATCCGGTCTCTGGTGTGGAAACGTGCTGACATGAACCCGGAGCAGACGAGCTGCTGTCGGTTTAACGAACAGCTGTGAGCACAGAGGGCTCAGGTTGTCTGGTTCACAGGTCGACAGGCCCTCAGCTCTCCGTCTGCAACGACGCCATATAACACCACCACACCTCAGGGCCTCGGCCTCACAGGGATGATGGAGCTCATCCTCCTCACGGCCCCAGAGGCTGCTGGGAGGTTGGCATCGGGATTTATGGGCATATTTCTATGTTTGTGTTGCTGCTGGGCGACACCGAAACATCCTCCTGGTAGTTTTCATGGGATTATTTATGAGAGTTGGCAATAGAGCCTCTGTGCGGTAGTTTAGTTCAGGCAAGAGAAGAGAATTGATTCGATTCGACTAAAGAATAGAGAAGACTACATTAGATTAAAAGCTTGAATTAACTATATTATACTAAAAATGACACAATAAATTACATTAAAATCTAAGCTATGAATGTATGGTCCCAATGGTGTGGTTGGCTGGTTATGGTTCCTCATCAACGTCGGGCGCAACCTTCCCTGAAAGTTGGCACAAGAGTAGAATAAACCCGTCTCCCGTTTGGCGATTTCGCCAGCACCATCTTGGATTACGGCTGTTATTTTGCAACCAATAAACAGAAGTGACCATATCTGGAATGCGGAGGAGTGACGTGGAAATGCAGTATACATCTCTGGTAGAGACCTGTCCATCACAATAAGCCCCGCCCTAAAGCATGTCCTGCTTTATGGTCTGTTTGACTCTAAATGGACCATAATGTACTAA